CGTGAGACGGACACGGTGGAATATGGTGGAATGGGACATCCTGAACCTGGCGCTTGGTGCGGTGGATACGGTTTTCCAGGTACTGCACGTCCACCGCGCCGTCAACCTTCGCAAGCATCTGTGCCGACATCGACGGGCTCCACCCGACCTCCTCCAGCCCAGCGCACCAAGCACCACCGACGGCAGTAACATTGCGGGTGCCGGCGGCGGCTGTACGTACGATGTTGTGCTGCTTGTGTGGGAAGTTGCGGCGTTCTCCTCGATACCCCGTTCTCCGTCACACATTCGGCTCGGAAGGCGTGACCATTCACGTGATTGATAATTTGAAGTTGTTGAATGGAGAGAGTCCCCGAGATCAGCAAGGAGGGGCTCGCTACTCTGCGTGGCTTGACTTCGCCATCCAAACGGGCGAGACCCGAAGCGACTTCGGGATCAGGCGCGACCAGCAGGCGGCAGCTGCTCGGCGTCTGGGCGCTCTGTTCTCTCCTGTCCAGCCTCCAGCCAAGGCGCGCTACTACGAGGACAGAGCCAATCTCGGCCAGCAGATGCGGGTGAACCTCTGCTGGGAGATTACCAGACTCCGAACAGTACGGCAAACCCGCGCAGAGTTTGACATCACAGAAAGACGGACTATTCCGAGGGCCGCGACGAGTAACAATCGGACGTGCAGTCGACCTTCCAGACTCGCCCGGGCAGAAGGACGGTCGCCAGGTATTTAACGGTGATGGCTGTTTTCGAGTTATCCGTGATGGAATTTGAGCAGATGAATTTGCGGCCATGTGGGTTTCCTTGGAACTTCAAGATCTAGGTTAAAAACTATATCGCGGATGGCTTCGAAGAAGTTACCATGCCACAGAGAACGTACCTGGGCTGAGTCAGGAGAGCTCCGAACTGCGAAAGTAGGCAGATATTTATTTGAGCGGCGGGGTAGGTAAGGGCAAGGAGAAGCGACGAGTCATTCAATGCGATTTCAATACAAGATCTCGTTGCTTTCACTGCGAAGAAAAGGACATTGACGACAAGACTGTCGCAAGGCAGCTCAAAACAACGCGATTGGTGACCGTTGACGACCTCCGCCATCATTGTATATCGACTTGGGCTCAAATAAGGCGTTCACTCTGGGAGTTCGCTGACCGCCATCGTCGAGACCGGCCAGGCCAACCCAAAGTCTGTCGCCGTTCCGTTCGACACGATCGCGCATTCATTGTCAGCGGCCACTCTACCAGACATTGACGACACTGCTTCCGTGGACACGGCCGCAAGGCAGGCCTCAGCAGGCGCTCACGACATCGACAAGCGTGCCAGGGCGTTCGAGAAGAAGGGCTTCGCCATTTTGTCCCCGGCAGTAGTCTTCTACCCCCAGGAGTGGGAGATTATTCCTGGAAGTAGAAGGCTACTCCCGAGGGAGTAGAAAGCTACTCCTGGGGGAATCGAATTAATCTCGGGGGGGTAGAAGGCTACTCCAGCTGGAGTGGAAGGCTATCACCCAGAAGCTCCCCAGGAGTAGAAGGCTTGTCCAGGGGGGGTACGAGGATACACTCCGGAGAGTAGAAAGCTCCTGTCCAGCGTGGGGCAGAGGGCAACCATGGGAGTAGAAGGCTACCCCCAGTGGAAGTAGAAGGCGATTCCAGGGAGTGCAAACCGATTCCCGTGGGGGTAGATGGCTCCTCCCAGAGGAGTAGAAGGCTGCTCCGAGTAGAGGGATACTCCAGGGGGGACAGCAGGCAAATTCCGGGGAGAGTTGAGAGTACTTAGAACGCTATTCTCGGGGGAGAAGAACGCTACTCCCATGGGAAGTAGAAGGCCACTCCCAGGGGGAGTAGAAGGATACCCCAATGGGGAGTAGAAGGCTGCTCCCAGGGGGAGTAGGAGCTACTCCATGGGAAGTAGAAGGTTACTCCCAGGGAGTATTGCAGGCTACTCCCAGGGGGAGTAGATGGCTCGTGGCCATGGGGAGTAGAAGGCTACTCCCAGGGTCAGTGAAGGCTATTCCTTGGGGGAGGAGAAGGCCATTCCCCGGGCAGCAGGAGGCTACTTCCAGGGGGGTAAAGCCCAGTAGCTCATGCGTTCCACGAAAGTATCAATATAGTTCACTGTGCCATTTGATACAACATTGAAATCGCGAATTCATCTGATGATCATCTGGGACATGTTAAGTACAGCCGTGTTGCTGTGTTGCAACATTGCCGTCTTGCTATCTCGCTCAGGGCGAAGAGGGGCCAATCTGTTTTGCAGTGTTCCTGAGTGCGTGTCTCTCGTGGTGACTTCTATTGGTGCGCATGCCCCCCCTTTCGTTCGGAGCCGCCCTCGCCCCGCGATGCGCCGCGACCGGCCCACTGCCAGTCAGGCGACCCCCCGCCCCCGCTCGCGACCTGCCCCGCAAATTATGGCGGCGGTGCAAAAGTTCATCTCAGTCGTATGTCCGACGGAACTCTCGGGCCGCCGAAGTATCCATAGATAGAGAGAGCCAACGACCAAATTCATCGCCCCGCCTCGCGAC